ATTCATGAATCAGGGCACTGAGGTGACCTCATTACATCATGCCAACCTTCGAGGATGTTTTGTACAAGCTGCTAAAGGCATGATGTTTACACTTGTTTATGCCCCAGGATGCATTTTTTTTACAATGTATTTGGATACTGTAAGTAGCTACATGCCAACTTTCTGAACCGGGGACCCTGCGGCAGGAAAAGGTGGCTCAAGTTGCCTTTTGCGGGTTATCAGTTGCACCAGAGGTGTATCAACATAAGTGTGACATAAAATATTGGCTGGACTAAAGGGTATTGAACAGTTGCTGATAACATACATATGTGCTCAGCTTGCGGATATTACGGACAGAAAAGCAGAGCAAGATCATGATGTTAAACTTACTAGGATTGAAGAATTGTACGGCAGGTGAAATGAAGACTTGCATGAAAAAAACTGCAATTTAAGGATATTCTACACTATATTTGCGAAACTATCTGGGGACCCCCCCAATCATTGGATTCAGGTGTTCCAATCACCTTCATGGCCACAGGTGTATAGAAATCAAGCACCTAGGCATGAAGGACTGCTTCTACAAACAAGTATGCAATAATGGGTCGCTCTCAGGAGCTCACTGAATTCAAGCGAGGTACTGAATAGGTTGCCACCTGTGCAATAAATCAATACATGAAATTTCCTTGCTACTAAATTTTCCATGTTCAACTGTTAGTTGTTATAACAAAGTGGAAGGAATGGGAACAACAGCAACACAGTCCACAAAGTGGTTAGACCATGTAAAATGATAGAGCGGGTGGTCAGCGCTTTGAATTAGCACAACAATGCATGGAGTGCTTCATGGGTTTCCATGGCCGACCATCTGCATCCAAGCCTTATATCCCCAAGTTACAAATGCAAAGCGAGTCAGATCTAGTGGTGTAAAATACGCCACCACTCAGGGGCGGACTGACAAACTCATGGGGCCCCCAGGCAATAGGGGATTCATGGGGGCCCCTGTGTCCTTGCCCAAACTCAAAAAAAGCCTATGCAAAATGTAAAGGATCAAATACCAAGGGTCCATCTCATGGGGGCCCCCTACTGACTACCTCCGGGCCCGGGTCGGGCAGTGCCGAGAGTTTGCAAATGGTCAGTCCGCCTCTGCCGCAACTGGACTCTAAGCAGTAGAGATGTGTTCTCTGGAGTGAACAAATCAAGCTTCTCTCTGTCTGGCAATCTGATGGATGTGACTTTTGTGTTGGGTTTGGGAAGTTGCCAGGAAAACGATCCTTGCCTGACTGCATTGTGTCTAGTGTAAAGTGTTTGTGGGAGGGGGATTTATGGTGTGGGGATGTTTTTTCAGGTATTGGTCGGGCATGGTCTCTTAGTTCCATTGAAAGGAACTCTTAAGGCATTCGGTTCATATCAAGGACATTTTGGGACAATTTCATGCTCCCAAACTTTGTGGGGAACAGTTTGGGGATGGCCTCCTACTGTTTCCAACATGGGACTGTGCCCAGTTTTGCAGAAAGGCAAGGTCCATAAAGATATATATGATGAGCATGTTTTTGGGTAGAGGAACTTGACTGGTGGGAGGTCCTGACATTTAACCCGATCGAACACCTTTATGGAATGAATTAGAGCGGAGGACTGCAAGCCAAGCCTTCACATCTGACATCATGTGCTTGAACCTCACACAAAATGGCACTTCTGGAAGATGGGTTAAGCATTCATATAGACACACCTAAATTATATTTTGACAGCTTTCCAGAAGAATTGGAAGCTGTTATAGCTGCAAAGGGTAGGCCAACTCAATATGGATGTGTTGAAACCCTATGGACTAAGACTGGACTGCTGTTACAGTTCATGTACAATGTAAGGAGGATGTTTGCCTTTTTCCATACTTTGGCTCAAAATGTTATATGTATCTTCAGAGGAATTTGGAAGGCTGACAGCCCAGAGAAAAATCAGGGGCTTTATTGGATATGCGACAACCGTCTACCTGTGAAAAAATACATTGTGAAATGTGGCGGCACAGTGGCTTAAGTGGTTAGCACTTCCACCTGGCAGTACTAGGGACGTTGGCCTTTTGAATCCAACCACGGCACCACCTGCCTGGAGTTTGCATGTTCCCCCTGTGCCTGCATGGGTTTTTCCTCCGGTTTTCTCTCACACTCTAAAGACATGGCAGGTAGGTTTAATTGGATCCTGTCTAAAATTGTCCCTAGTATGTGTATGTATGAATGTGAGTTAGGGACCTTAGATTGTACACCCCTTGAGGGGTTAGGGACTGATGTGAATGTATGTAAAGCGCTGCGTAATTTGATGGCGCTATATAGGTACCTGAAATAAATAAAAAATAAATAAATAACTTTCAGTGCTTCATAGGATTTGTTACCTATTTAGCAAAATTCCTTCAGCATCTACTCAGAGTTTGTGAACCATTGAGAAGGCATTCTGGACAAGTATTGTCCTTTGACATTGGCTTGCTAAGTATGATAATGCTGTACAGGAAATCAAATGTTTAGTCACAGATACCACCTGTCCTAAAGTACTATAATGTCACAAATACCTGTAGCTTTTCAAAGTAATGCGAGCAAAATCAAAGTGTGGACTGTTGCCTATTGCAAGCTGGCAAGTACCCTTTGCCATTTGCTTCAACGGCAACTGACCCCTAAATCAGCAAACACTATGCACAAATCGAAAAGGAATGTCTGAGTATTATGTTTGCCCTGCCATCGCTTTCATCACTACCTCTATGGTCGTGATGAGATCATAGCAGAAACTGACCATAAGCCTCTGGATATGCTATTTTCAAAAAAACACTTTTGTGTGCACCCAAAACGCCTACAGTGCATGTTGCTTCTGTTACAAAATTATTTGGCCTAAATGTTGTCTATAAACCTTGACCTTAACATGTGCATTAGTGAGAGAGCTACAGGCAGAGTACAGCTAGCAGGTGGCACATCCCTGAATGTGCATACTACCAGTCTGCAATGTTCAACAGGCCAAGGCCTTGATGTCCTGTTGAAGATCAATCATTCGGACAATCTTAATGTCACAGACCAGCATTTACTTTTAGATAAAACACACACATAAACTTGAGCACTAAAAATCTGTTGTTCTGAATGGGCTGGCCAGATTCAAACGGCAGAAGTGTCCAATACTTGTGAGGAGAATATTGGACTGTAAGACATGAAATCGGTATTCAGGATGGCATACTTTACAATGGGGCCAAGAGTCATCATTCCTAACTCTGAGAGCAAAAGATGTTGAACGCATTCATGCAAAGTCACATTGGTGGAAAAGTATGCTATAAACATGTAGCACAAGACCCATGGGTGTTTTACTTGGCTAGATATATAGGTTCAGCTCCACCTGAATCTGGTGACCACCTCTGATTATACCCAGAACACTTCGGACACATCTGAGCATATTTTTTTATGTGCTTTATTGAAGAAGAAAAGCCCTGAAAAAGCATGGATAGCTGATTTTAACCACAGGGAATGTACATACAACACAGATACCCAACAAATGACTAGTATCACACTGCTAGGATGGCATATGAGGGTGACCCCTGACACTCTGAATCCTAAAATAACTGTAATGAGGTTTATCAGCCCTGATTGACATTTGTCCTGTCAGCAGTGCTATCTAAAGTAGAAATGTCCTGCCGTAATTCCACTGGCCAGTGGTGATGATAACTTAAAGTCTATCAACATTGGGGCCGATGTTTAAATTAATGATAAAGAGCACTCACTCTTCTGAATGGGGAGTATTTGTAATCAGGAGGTAGCCAGGATAGCACAGGTCTCCTTTAAATGCAGAACCTCCGAGTGCAACATTACAATAGGAAAGGATATAGAACAAGCCTTTCTCATGCCTAGAGATGAGCGAATTATTCAAAAATTCGATTCGACTGATTCGGCGAATTCGTGGAAAAATTTCGATTCGAGTCGAATATATTCGCTGTGAATTTAACTTGAAAAAAAAAAGGGTGTTTCTAGGCTTCAGAGAGACTTAATATTAGTGCAGAACACTGTACTTTTTAATTTAAATGCCCTTGGAGTCTGCTGGGGAAGAGAAATAATACTGAGGGCAGTCAGTATGACTCCATGCAGATGAGTGCCGTCGATCTTAGAATCACCGCACACTTCACTCATTTGGGCAGTCACGGGGCCAAAACCCAGAGTGTGGAGCCACAGTGTGGCGGTGGAGGCAGCAGCAATGGGAGGCCATACAGCACCCTATGACAAAAATGGAAACCACCAGCAGTGTGAGGAGACCTGAAAGTGGCACATGGCAGAGTGTGGCGATAGAGACAGCAGCAATGGGAGGCCGTACAGGGACCCATGACACACTCTGGACCTGGCAGCAGCATGAGGAGAGGCGGTACAGGGGCCCATGCAGATTACGGGCCTGGCAGCAGCATGAGGAGTCGGTACGGGGGCCCATGGCAGATTACGGGCCTGGCAGCAGCAATGGGAGGCTGGCCGTACAGGGACCCATGACACACTCTGGACCTGGCAGCAGCATGAGGAGGCGGTACAGGGGCCCATGACAGATTACGGGCCTGGCAGCAGCATGAGGAGTCGGTACAGGGGGCCCATGACACACTCTGGACACTGGCAGCAGCATGAGGAAGGGCGGTACAGGGGCGCATGACAGATTACGAGCCTGGCAGCAGCAACTTGGACAGGAGGACGTTCAGCTTTCTGCACCGTCGGGTGCGTGCTCGCAAACTGTTGTCTCTTGGAAACGGATTCCAAGAAAGACTGCTGACGGAATCCGTGAAGAGGAGTAGCAGGAGAAGGAGCATCTGAACGAGCGGAATATGCCAACAAGCGACAACAGGGGCCCATGACAGATTACGGGCCTCGGCAGCAGCATGAGGAAGTCGGTACGGGGGGCCCATGGCAGATTACGGGCCTGGCAGCAGCTATGGGAGGCCCGTAATCTGCCAGCCCCTATGACAAAAAATGGAACACACCAGCAGTGTGTGAGGAGACCTGAAAGTGGCACATGGCAGAGTGTGGCGATGGAGACAGCAGCAATGGGAGGCCGTACAGGGGACCCATGAGAGACTCTGGACCTGGCAGCAGCATGAGGAGGTAAAGGGGCCCATGGCAGATTAGGGGCCTGGCAGCAGCTAGGGAGGCCCGTAATCTGCCAGCACCCTATGACAAAAAATGGAAACCCACCAGCAGTGTGAGGAGACCTGAAAGTGGCACATGGCAGAGTGTGGCGATGGAGACAGCAGCAATGGGAGGCCGTACAGGGACCCATGAGAGACTCTGGACCTGGCAGCAGCATGAGGAGGCGGTATAGGGGCCCATGGCAGATTAGGGGCCTGGCAGCAGCTATGGGAGGCCCGTAATCTGCCAGCACCCTATGACAAAAAATGGAAAACACACCAGCAGTGTGAGGAGACCTGAAAGTGGCACATGGCAGAGTGTGGCGATGGAGACAGCAGCAATGGGAGGCCGTACAGGGACCCATGAGAGACTCTGGACCTTGGCAGCAGCATGAGGAGGCGGTATATAGGGGCCCATGGCAGATTAGGGGCCTGGCAGCAGTATGGGAGGCCCGTAATCTGCCAGCACCCTATGACAAAAAATGGAACACACCAGCAGTGTGAGGAGACCTGAAAGTGGCACATGTTTGGGGCATGATTCATGGCGGATTTAGTCAGTTGAGTCAGGAACTGGTGGTTTGAAAATCCAGACTAAGGGACCCTGATTCATTTTCACAAACGGAGTCTCTCCACAGAGCAGTGGATGTCGTGTCCTCCGCGGAGTTACAATACCTCCTGCCGCACTAAACACGCGCTGGATGCCGCACGCTACTGGCCGGGCATGACAGCCTTTCAAGGGCAAATTCAGACTAGTTGGGGCCAAAGGTCAAGTTTCGTTGCCCAGTAGTCAAAGGGATTGTCTACCTCGGTTGGCAGGGTGCTGTCCAAGTAGGCCTAAGCCTGTTGTTTGAGGTCCTGCTCCAGGTCCCACCTGATGCTGCTGCTGCTGCTGCTGCTGGCTGTGCTGGTTAGTAGTTTCCTCACTGCGCTGGTGAAGAAAGCTACTCATCATCGACTGCAGACTGAGGCAGCCGCTGCTGGTGGAGCTGCCACTGCTCCTACCACCCCACCCCTCCCCTGCTGCCATGGCAGCGGAACGCGAGCGCACAGGGCCCACAGTGTCTGAGGATGGACGTTGGCGCAGACAGGCAGAGACCAGCTGACTACATAGGTGGTTTTTATAGTACGTTATTTTGGCCTCCCTCTCAGCAGGTGTGAAAAAGGCCACCATTTTTGAACTGGTAGCGAGGGTCCAACACAAGGTGGACAGCCAAAAGTCATCCCTCTGTCTGATGGTTATTATTCGGCTGTCGCTACGCAAGGCGAGCATGCTATGGGCCATTTGTGCCAAGGAATGCGAGGGACTCCCTGCCTCCATCTCCACAGCATACTGCCACGGTGCGTCTGGGTCCTCTGTCTCCTCCTCCTCCTCCTCTACCAGATGCTCCTGCTCCTCCACTCCTGTCCGCTGAGTGGAAAAACCACCCATTTCACTCAATAATTCCTGAGCACCAATGTCCTCCTCTACCTCCTCCTCTTCTTCCTGTCCTGCCCCCACAGGGTCATGTGGCGTTGAGATCTGTGCGCCACGTCTACCGCACCCTGACCAGCCATTGTTAACAGCATTTGTTCCAGGACGTGCAACAGAGGAATGACGTCGTTCATCCCATAGTCCTGCCGACTCACGAATAGCGTGGGCCTCCTCAAAGGGCCTGAGCAAGCGCAGGTGTCACGCATGAGCTGCCAATGGCTGACATCTAAGTTACACAGGGAGTACCTTTATCCGCTTTTAACATCAGGAAATCTGTGATGGCCTTTCGCTGTTCGTAAAAGGCGGTCTAACATATGTAGGGTTGAATTCCACCTTGTTGCAACGTCACAGCATGAGAGAGGAGTCGGTACGGGGGCCCATGGCAGATTACGTGCCTGGCAGCAGCAATGGGAGGCCCGTAATCTGCCAGCACCCTATGTCAAAAAATTCAACACACCATGAGGAGACCTGAAAGTGGCACATGGCAGAGTGTGGCGATGGAGACAGCAGCAATGGGAGGCCGTACAGGGACCCATGAGAGACTCTGGACCTGGCAGCAGCATGAGGAGGCGGGTATAGGGGCCCATGGCAGATTAGGGGCCTGGCAGCAGCTATGGGAGGCCCGTAATCTGCCAGCACCCTATGTCAAAAAAATTCAAACACCAGGAGCTGAAAGTGGCACATGGCAGAGTGTGAGGAGACTGCAGCAATGGGTGGCACATGGCATGAGAGACTCTGGACCTGGCAGCAGCATGAGGAGGCGGTATATAGGGGCCCATGGCAGATTAGGGGCCTGGCAGCAGCTATGGGAGGCCCGTAATCTGCCAGCACCCTATGTCAAAAAATGGAACACACCAGCAGTGTGAGGAGACCTGAAAGTGGCACATGGCAGAGTGTGGCGATGGAGACAGCAGCAATGGGAGGCCGTACAGGGACCCATGGAGACTCTGGACCTGGCAGCAGCATGAGGAGGCGGTATATAGGGGCCATGGCAGATTAGGGGCCTGGCAGCAGCTATGGGAGGCCCGTAATCTGCCAGCACCCTATGTCAAAAAATTCAACACACAGCAGTGTGTGTGTGAGGAGACCTGAAAGTGGCACATGGCAGAGTGTGGCGATGGAGACAGCAGCAATGGGAGGCCGTACAGGGACCCATGAGAGACTCTGGACCTGGCAGCAGCATGAGGAGGGCGGTATATAGGGGCCCATGGCAGATTAGGGGCCTGGCAGCAGCTATGGGAGGCCCGTAATCTGCCAGCACCCTATGTCAAAAAATGGAACACACCAGCAGTGTGAGGAGACCTGAAAGTGGCACATGGCAGAGTGTGGCGATGGAGACAGCAGCAATGGGAGGCCGTACAGGGACCCATGAGAGACTCTGGACCTGGCAGCAGCATGAGGAGGCGGTATATAGGGGCCCATGGCAGATTAGGGGCCTGGCAGCAGCTATGGGAGGCCCGTAATCTGCCAGCACCCTATGTCAAAAAATTGAACACACCAGCAGTGTGTGAGGAGACCTGAAAGTGGCACATGGCAGAGTGTGGCGATGGAGACAGCAGCAATGGGAGGCCGTACAGGGACCCATGAGAGACTCTGGACCTGGCAGCAGCATGAGGAGAGGCGGCGGTATAGGGGCCATGGCAGATTAGGGGCCTGGCAGCAGCTATGGGAGGCCCGTAATCTGCCAGCACCCTATGTCAAAAAATTCTACACACCAGCAGTGTGTGAGGAGACCTGAAAGTGGCACATGTTTGGGGCATGATTCATGGCGGATTTAGTCAGTTGTGTCAGGAACTGGTGGTTTGAAATCCAGACTAATCCACGCCTGATTCATTTTCACAAACGTGAGTCTCTCCACACTTTGGGTGGACAGTCGTGTCCTCCGCGGAGTTACAATACCTCCTGCCGCACTAAACACGCGCTCCGATGCCACGCTACTGGCCGGGCATGACAGCCTTTCAAGGGCAAATTCAGCTAGTTGGGGCCAAAGGTCAAGTTTCGTTGCCCAGTAGTCAAGGGGATTGTCTACCTCGGTTGGCAGGGTGCTGTCCAAGTAGGCCCAAGCCTGTTGTTTGAGGTCCTGCTCCAGGTCCACCTGATGCTGCTGCTGCTGCGGCTGCTGGTTAGTAGTTTCCTCACTGCGCTGGTGAAGAAAGCTACTCATCATCGACTGCAGACTGAGGCAGCCGCTGCTGGTGGAGCTGCCACTGCTCCTACCACCCCACCCCTCCCCTGCTGCCATGGCAGCGGAACGCGAGCGCACAGGGCCCACAGTGTCTGAGGATGGACGTTGGCGCGCAAAGGCAGAGACCAACTGACTACATAGGTGGTTTTTATAGTACGTTATTTTGGCCTCCCTCTCAGCAGGTGTGAAAAAGGCCACCATTTTTGAACGGTAGCGAGGGTCCAACAAGGTGGACAGCCAAAAGTCATCCCTCTGTCTGATGGTTATTATTGGGCTGTCGCTACGCAAGCAACCGAGCATGCTATGGGCCATTTGTGCCAAGGAATGCGAGGGACTCCCTGCCTCCATCTCCACAGCATACTGCCACGGTGCGTCTGGGTCCTCTGTCTCCTCCTCCTCCTCCTCCTCTACCAGATGCTCCCTGCTCCTCCACTCCTGTCCGCTGAGTGGAAAAACCACCCATTTCACTCAATAATTCCTGAGCACAAATGTCCTCCTCTACCTCCTCCTCTTCTTCCTGTCCTGCCCCCACAGGGGTCATGTGGCGTTGAGATCTGTGCGCCACGTCTACCGCACCCTGACCAGCCATTGTTAACAGCATTTGTTCCAGGACGTGCAACAGAGGAATGACGTCGTTCATCCCATAGTCCTGCCGACTCACGAATAGCGTGGCCTCCTCAAAGGGCCTGAGCAAGCGGCAGGTGTCACGCATGAGCTGCCAATGGCTGACATCGAAGTTACACAGGGGAGTACCTTTATCCGCTTGTAACAGGAAATCGGTGATGGCCTTTCGCTGTTCGTAAAGGCGGTCTAACATGTGTAGGGTTGAATTCCACCTTGTTGCAACGTCGCAGATCAGGCGATGCTGTGGAATTCCGTTCTGCCGCTGCAGCTCAAGGAGGGTGTGCTTTGCGGTGTAGGAATGGCTGAAATGCATGCAAAGTTTACGTGACATTTTAAGGATGTCTTGCAGTGGGATGGTGGATTTTAGGAACCGCTTGACAACCAGATTGAACACGTGAGCCATGCATGGCGCATGGCACAACCTTCCTTGACGCAGAGCAGACACCATGTTCTTTCCGTTGTCGGTCAACATGGTTCCGATTTTCAGTTTGCGCGGAGACAGCCATCTGTCGATTTCTCTGTTCATTACACTCAGAGAAGTTCCTCCCCTGTGTGTGACTACGTTCGCCAAGGCATACCAGGTGCAGAACAGCGTGACACCGTTGCGCCCTGCACATGTGATATATGCCGGTCGGGTAATGGGACTTGGCACGGGGGTGGCGGCTGAGGACACGGCGGAAGAAGAAGAGAGGTGGTAGAGGCGGACATCTTTGCCGGACCAAGGACGTGCAAACGTGGAGGCAAAAGCGGGCGTGACCTGTCCAAGTTGCTGGTGCGGCTGTGACGGCACCACGTTCACCCAGTGGGCCGTAAATGACATGTACTGTCCCTGACCGTAGTTACAGCTCACACACGTCGGCGCTGCCGTGCACTTTGGCAGAGACCGACATGCTCAAAGACTGGCCCACCATCTCTTCTACATGTGAATGCAGGGCTGGCACTGCCTTTTTGGCGAAGAAATGACGGCTTGGCACTCTCCACCGCGGCGCGGCACAAGCCATCATTTCTCGGAAAGGTGCTGAGTCCACCACTTGGAAAGGGAGGGACTGCAGCACCAGCAACTTGGACAGGAGGACGTTCAGCTTTTGCACCGTCGGGTGCGTGCTCGCAAACTG